CTTCTAGGATTCTCTCCTTCATTTTTACCCTGGCCAATGTAGTCATGATGTGCCTTGGTGTGTTTCTCCTTGGGTACAACTTCTTTGGGATTCTCTGAGCTTCCTGAACTTCCTGGAAGTCTATTTCCTTTGCCAGATTGGGGAGGTTCTCCTTTATTATTTGTTCAAATAACTTTTCCACTTGTTGCTCTTCCTCTTCCCCTTCTGGTACCCCTATAATTCGGATGTTGGAATGTTTAAAGATGTCCTGGAGGTTCCTAAACCTCACCTCAGTTTTTTGAGCTCTTGTTTCTTCATTCTGTTCTGGCTGAATGTTTCTTTCTTCCTTCTGGTCCACACCATCAATTTGAGTCCCAGTTTCCTGCCCATCATTTGGTCACCTGTACATTTTTCTTTATTTCACTTAGCATAGCCTTCTTTTTTTCTTCTAATTTGTGACAATATTCAACCAGTTCTGTGAGCATCCTGATCACCAGTGCTTTGAACTGTGCATCTGATAGGTTGGCTAGCTCTTCATTGCTTAGTTGTATTTTTTCTGAGTTTTGATCTGTTTTTTTCATTTGGGCCATTTTTTTTTGTCAGGTGTGCCTGTTATGTAGAAAGGGGGCAGAGCCTTAGGTGTTCATGGGGTGGGGCAACCCATATTGCTGTGTTGTGACACTGTATGTAGGGGAGGAGTTCGAGAGAGAACAATGCCACTTACTCAGTTCTCTGCCAGTTTCTGTCACTTCCTCCACTACCCACAATCAAATTGGGCCCTTCTGGTGCTCATTCCTGGGTGGGTTGGTTTGTGTACATTCCAGGACCCTGTTCGTCTCTCAAGAGAACTCTCCTGTGAGGCTGGGAGCCTCTCCTGCTGCCACTTCAACCCCCACATGTGTTCTCAATTAGAGGTTTGCAGCTTTATTTCCCTGTGCTGGAACTCTGGGTTGTGAAGTCTGTCTCACTGCCCAGTTGTTCTTCCTGGCTTATCTGCACGCAAATGTGGGACCACCTTGTCCATTAGCCACTGCCTTGCTGCGAGTCCTCTCTTCCCAGCTGCCCATCCTCATCCCTCTTGTTGGTCTGTATGAATGTTTTTTCTTTAACTCCTTGGTTGTTGGACCTCCATACAGTTTGATCTGTCAGTTCTGGTTGTTCTTCATTTTCAAATTTGTTGTTGTCCTTCCTTTGGTTGTGCAAGGAGGCACAGTGTGTCCACCTATACCTCCATATTGGCCACTGATTTCTCAAAAGAAACATTGTAGGCAAGAAGGGGCTGGAGAGAAGTATTCCAAGTCATGAAAGGCAAGAACCTACATCCAAGATTACTCTATCCAGCAAAGCTATCATTTAGAATCAAAGGGCAGATAAAGTACTTCCCAGAGAAGGCCAAGTTAAAGGAATTCATCATTACCAAGCCCTTAATACATTAAATGTTAAAAGGACTCATCTAAGAAATAGAGGATCAAAGACTGTGAACAGAGAAATGACAACAAACTCACAGCTATCAACAACTGAACCTAAAAAAACAAAAACAAAACTAAGCAAACAACTAGAAGAAGAACAGAACCAGAGAAATGGAAATCTGTTCTCTATTGGAGGATTTTCAGTGGAGAGGGGGAGGGGAAGAATAGGATGGAAAGTTACAGGGAATAAGAAGCATAAATAGTAGGCATAAAACAGACAGGGGAGGTTTAGAATAGTATAGGAAACAGAGAAGCCAAAGAAGTTATATGTACAACCCATGGACATGAACTAAGGGGGGGGCACTTGAGGGAGGGGGATACATGGTGGAGGGGGGATAAAGGGGAGAAAAAAATTGGGAAAATGATAATAGCATAACCAATAAAATATACTTAAAAAAAGAAAAATAACATATTACAAATTTCTGGGGATTATGATGTAGATATCTCTGAAGGCTCTTATTTTGCTTACTGCAAATTTCTTTCCCCAAAAATAATTTCCATGGTGTCACACAAGGGCCTTCATGTAAATAAGTCAAATTAGATCTTTTTGAGAAGTATAAAGGACACATGCACAAAGCCAAAGGGGGTAGGTTCGAGGGTGGGAGATGAGGATGGGTTGAGCGAGAGGGCATGGTGGGGTAAAAATAGAGACAACTGTACTTGAACAACAATAAAAAAAAAGGTACATCATATGATATTGTTCATGAATGTTTATATTCAATAATTGAACAATGAATTTATAACTGTTTCTGGAATGAGTTAATGCACACTATCCATTCAAAATTACATGCAAATGATTTTTGGTTCTGAAGACCTAAAACTATCTATAGTACACTCATTCAATTCAAAGAACCTCTGGGCTCACCATGACCTGCATTTGAAATATAATCCTGAGTGAGTGATTTATATGCTCATTGAATTTAGAGGTGTGGCGATCTAGATGAAGCTTTCTCACCTTCTCATGTTGATAATAGAGGTGGGATAATTATTTCAGTTGGATATTGTAGGTGCTGAGCAACCTCCCTCCACATGTTGCCAAATATCTCTAGGGGCAAAATCATCTCAGGTAGAGAACTATTGGCCCACAGTTTGAAAACTGGAGCAACCTGACAGATTCCAATCAAGGCCCACCACTTACTTATTCATAAATTTTAGCAAATCACTAAAACACTTCAAGCCCCATTTCTGCAAAGGGGAATGGAGTTCATAATAGTAATACCTCATAGAATGGATTTTTCAAAAAATTAAATCAGACACTGTCTATAAGGTACTCAGATTATATGGCATAAAACAATCAAACACATCTCTCATAATTAACAAATATTTTATAATGAGGCACTAAATGACAGTTCTTAATTTGTGAAAAAAGTACAAAGTCCCTAATTATTTTGACAAATGTGTCAGGAAGGAAAAGATTGTGGTGCCCAGGACCACATATCAAAGGACAGAGCTATTCCCTTATTGAAGAGGGGATAGCAATGCTCTGCAGACATCAGGTCTGTGGCCCCCCACAAATAAGTGCTTTAAGGATCAAAGAAACATGGTCCTGAAGGTTTTCTTAGTCTCAGACTGCAGAAAATATTAACTCAGGGTTGGGATAAGGTGGAGAAGGTAAGACCTCTGGGAAGCAGGTGAGATCCAAGACAAGGAGTCATAAATCTACATTCACCTGGCTTCTAACATGGTCTTTTGGGATCAGAGAATCATTAGGAAACATTTTCTTTTTGTTTATACTAGAGGCTCAAAGGGAAATCAGGCACTTAGATGTAGGAATAACACAAGAGAAATGTGGCTGATGAACATATATACAGAGAACTGTAAATATCTCCCCCATGCTGTCCCTCAGCTTGTACAATGTTGGTGGACAGGACATGGTTGTTGCTGTTGAATCCCAAGACTGGCCCAGGAACTGATACTTCACTCCTCCCTGCTGTCTTGTGTGGGTAGGATAGAGCTTCAGTCTCCATCATCCACCATCCAGGGAGCAATTCTGACTGGCACACGGAGATCTTCCTTTCAGAAAACCCATCCAGGGGAATCTTAGAGCCTGGTAGGTGCATCAGGAAAGGGGAACAGAGGCTGGAACCTAAGAACTTTTACTGAGTCTCTAGGACCCTAATCAGACTAGCCCTGAGACCAGATATCTCTGTTTGTATTCTTGGTTAAGTAACTAATTTATACTTAATTTACTTAATATGTTAATAAGGATGCATCTGTTTGAATCTGCGCTCCAGGGCCATAGCTGTCAATTAGGTGATGGGACTGGGAGTCCAGTGGGAAGATGCTGCACAATGAGTGAGATGCAGGAAATGGTTGCAGGAAAGTGAAAACACATCGGGAAGTTTTGATGTTTGGGGAGGAAATGGAGCTTCAGATGTGGAGAACAATGCAGTGAAGTGAGAGCGTTTGTAAAAAATTTCTTAGACAGGCTTATTTGAGTATGTTTTGTATTCATTGAAAGATACAGACCAGTGGAGGGAGACAGCATCTTGCAGTTGCAGATGGTGAGAAAGACATTACATTATCTTCTGTCATGCTGAGTATTCACATGAAAAACATATTTAATAAGTCTAAGGGAAATACTAAATAGTTTTGTAAGAGGCTGCAGCCAAGGGGACCCCCCCAAAAAGGATTTGTAATGATTAAGTCATCACTCTTAAGTCTGTCCAGAACTCAGGGTGTCCAGGAAATATTAAAAATATGGGCTATGCTCACCCCCACAAGTCTGACCTGGGGGATGGGATACATGGAGCAGGGCCATTGAGAGTTGTTTTGCATAGCAACAGTTTTGCAAATAACCTCTAGAAGGGTCATTTAACATATCTATAACTTTTGACTAGTTTCATGGATGTATTAAATAGCTGTGGCCCAGCTATTTAATAGGTTTGACCCAGGGAGATGGGAGTGACTTCCACCCAGGATATAACTGGGAGGCAACTACCCTCACCAACTCCCTGCCATTACTGCATAAGAGCTTGGAGATAATTGGCTCCATGCTACAGGGCCACATCTGCCAAGACTTACTATGGCAGGCCAGAAAAGCTGAAAAAAATATGGGAATGCTGGCAGGTGTAGCTGATTGTGGGAGGAGTTGGAAATGGGTCTGCAGAGGAAGATTGGCACTGGGATTACACCCAGGCGCAGCAGCATGACAAAAGGAACCACAGGACTTTGGGTGTCACTTTGCCACTCAGCTTAGGAAGCCAGAAAGCAAGATGTAGCAGTGATGCAGAGGTCTCTCTTAGCAGTTTGGAAGAATGCAGGAGAGATTCTGCGGGAAGGAAAAGGGTGAAAGGACTTTTGCTTGGTGGGCCCTGAGAAGGTGCAATGTGGTTTTGGATTAAGATCTGGAGATCCCAGTAACACAGCTGATGGTTCTGGGAACCAAGGGAGGCCTACCTGCTGAGCAAGGATTACTGGGAAGGACCGGGAGCTACCTGAGCCGCAGACCTCTATTTCTTTTCCTGAGACGTGGTACCCCAGAACAGGCAAAAGGGGAAAAGAAGGACTCTGTGTTTGTGAGTGTTTTAAGGGACTTTGGGATTTAATGAAGATATTAAGTTATTACTCTTAAGTCTGTATAGCTTTTGTGCAGGGGCCATGCTAATCTTCTCTGTATAGTTCCAATTTTAGTATATGTGCTGCCAAAGTGAGCACAAGTCTGTATAACTTTTGAATAAATAATTCCTCTCTTTTCACCAATCTCTGACATGGAGAGCTATAATTCCCTGGTGGTGTGCAAGGTGAACCTAGTACAGGGGTACCCCAGGAGAAGCAGGGGGTCCATTTGGTAAAATTGTGTGACCCCTTCTTCAGTGGCCAACCAAGGAAAATCATTGGAGACCACATGTGCCATAGCTTTAAAGTAATACAACTACTTGCACATGCGCAATAAAAGCCTGCCAAAGCTAGCCAGAAAGTATCCACCCTATAAGAATAGAATCCTCCAGCCCAAGAGGTCAGTCTCTGCTTGGAGTTGGCCTGCTCCCATGTTCTCTTCTATAAACTCTATGTGTTTGGTTCAATTCTTTGTCCCGATCACCAAGAACCTGGTTACTTGTGCCCACCTGTGACAGTTTACTTCATTATTGGTGAGGCTGCATATATTTTGGAGTTTGTGCCCTTTTAATTTTGTATTAAGTTGAAATTCCTATCCTACAGTCAGTTCTTCCTGTAGTGGTCGTTTTTCTACACATTGAATGAGAGACTCTGTCATGTCCTTGGAAATATAAATTGAGGACTGACTGACTTTTAGCCAAAGTGTATATACTGTGCTGAGCAACAATAGTTTTGACAATTCAGTGATGAAAAAATTAAGGTCACACACTGTACCTTAAATCTTAATGATACCAACGAATTCTAGTTGAAAACACTGTATTTATGCCATGAAGATTCACTGTCCCTGCCAACTGGGTGGAAATCTCCAAATATTTAAAAATTTCTGTTCTAATCCCTGTGGATTTTCCAAGTAAAATGCCTACCCAACGAAGCTAATGAGTGGAGATGCTTAAGCTCAGTCCCTCCATCCCTTGTCACTGAAGGACTGAATTCTAGTTGAAAACACTGTATTTATGCCATGAAGATTCACTGTCCCAGCCAACTGGGTGGAAATCTCCAAATATTTAAAAATTTCTGTTCTAATCCCTGTGGATTTTCCAAGTAAAATGCCTACCCAACAAAGCTAATGAGTGGAGATGCTTAAGCTCAGTCCCTCCATCCCTTGTCACTGAAGGACTGACTCTCTTAGACTGCTGAGAGAGACGCTGGGAAGCACTCCCACACCAGTTGTTCACAGTAAGCATGGTACAAGGTGCAGCCAGGGGGTCCCCAAATAGGGATTTGTAATGGGATCCAGAACTCAGGGTGTCCAGAAAATATTAAAAAAATATATAGGATGTCCTTGCCCCCACAAGTCTGAACTGGGGGATGGGACACATGGAGTAGGGCCATTGAGAGTTGTTTTGCATAGCAACAGTTTTGCAACTAACCTCTGGCATGGCCATTTAACATATCTATAACTTTTAACTGGTTTCATGGATATGTTAAATAGCTGTGGCTACGCTTTGAGCCAGGAATTGGGAGTGACTTTGAGCTATGACATAACTGGGAGGCAACTCCCCCTGGTTACAGCACCCATGTGAGAGCTTAGAGATGATTGGCTCCAAGCCACAGGGCCATGCCTCCCCGGACTTAGTATGGCAGCCCAGAAAAGCTGGAAAAATACAGGAGTGCTGGTGGGAGTAGCTGGTTGTGGGAGGAGTCAGAAATGGGGCTGCAGAGGAAGATTGGCACTGGGATTTAAACTCAGGCATGGCAACCATTTGAGGTTGGGACCACACAGCTTTGGCGAGAGTCAGAACAATGTGACTTTGGGGTGCTCCCTTTTGCTATGTGGCTTAGAAAGCAGGAGAGACCTTGCTGAGAAGAAAAGGGGTGAAACAACTCTTGCTGGTGGACCATGAGAAGGTATTGCGTGGTTTTGGATTAACTGGAGATTGTGGTAGCGACACAGCTGATGGTGCTGGGAACTGCAGGAGGCTGGCCAGGCAAGTGCAGATTTCTGGGAACCGAAGGGCTACCTAAGTCAAGGACTTCTATTTTTTTCTAGGATACAGTACCCTGGACTGGACAGAGGGGGAAGGAAGGACTGTATGCATTTGTGGGTATTCCAAGGAACTTTGGGGTTTCAGTGAAGACACTAAGTTATTACTCTTAAGTTTGTATAACTTTTGAATAAATAATTCCTTTCACTTTCACCAGTGTGTGGCATTGAGAGCCGTAATTTCCTGGCGGCGGGTGAGGTGAACCTAAAACAGGGGGATCCAGGGAGAAGAGGGCGTCCATTCGGTTATAGTATATAGTTACCCCCTTCCTTCCACGGGTGTGTTTCTGTAACAAGCACACATATGTGCATACAGCTCTAGGTGTCAGAGCCTGGCACGAGTATCACTGGCAAATCTCAAGGTGTCTGCAGCGCTGGGTTCCTCCTAGAGGCTCAGGGGAAAAACCTGTCTTCTCCTTAATTCCAGTTTGTATTCTGACCACCTGCATTCCTTGGCTCTGGGTCCTTCCTTCTTCGTCGAAGCCAGCAGTGTTGCATTTTCCCCTGGTCTCCCTCTCTGCATGTAGGGGAGCACTGTGCTGACCTTAGTCCCCCTGGATGATCCTGCTCATCTTCAACCTTAAAGTCAGCTGAGTAGCAGCCCTGTTCCATCTGCTACCCTCATCCTCCCCTTGCTATGAAAAAAATATTTTATTCCAAGGAACTGAGGATTAGAGTGGACATCTTAGAGAAGTTTTCCTGCCTGCTACAAGTTGTTTTTCATAAGTGTATTATTCTGTGCCACTCAAGCACCCTTATATTAAGGCAACACAGATTCAATCATAGCCTCTGGAATGAGTGAATACACTCTTTCTTCACAACCCCATGCAGAGAAGATATTTGGATCACAGGAACTAAAATGACTTCAACTGAGTCTAATACAGAACCACAGCCTTTCTTTCCAGAAAGTGGTCCACAGACCAGGACCTGTAGCATCAACACCACCTGGGCACTTGTCAGAAACACAGCTTCTCTGAGCCTGAAGGACCTGCTGAATCAGATTCTGCATTTGAACTAGAATCCTGGGGACCTCCTATGAATTTGAAACTGAAAACTGCTGGTGTAAAGTAGGTTTTGTCACTTTTTAACATTGACATGGGGGAGGGATAATAATGGGGGTGGGTTGTGTGTATGTTTGTGAATTGTAGGTGTTTAGTGGTATCCCTTCAGGTATTGGTAGGGGCAAAATAATTTATGGTTGAGGCCAACTGACTAGAAGCAACCTGAAAAAGTTATCATCAAGGCCCATCAATGCTCTGATACTAACTTTGAGCAAATCACTAAACCCCTGCAGCTCCTCCCTAAGACCTTGCTTCTGGCTGTTCCCTCTGCTGGGCACACACTTGCCCACATAAGCTTGATCTCTCTCCTTTTCTCCCTTGAGTCTTGTGCTCAAATGTCATTTTGTTGGCAGGTCTTGCCTAAAAAAACATGAGAAATAGAATGGCCTTGTCACTTTCTCCTTTAGACCTGCTTTCATTTTCTCCACAGGATTTGTCACTATCTGTAATGTTAAATTTATTTCTTTTATTTGTTTCTATATTTGACAGGGGACTCAAGAGTTGGGAAATTTTAGTTTTAGGTAAATAGTTAATAAGCCTAGTAGGTACTGCATATGTTAAAGCTATTGTTTCAGGAACTGCAGATAAGGTCCACTACTCCCTGGAGAGACAGCTGGCCTCTGGGGCCACAGCTGGAAACACCTGAGCCATTGTGTTCCAGGGAGAGACACCTGCCTATCTGCCCAGGGACAGCTAACTGCCCAGGGCTAGAATACTGCAGTTTTTTAATCTAATTTTCCCTGAATTTCAAAACCTCTCACCACACTTTTTTCTCTGTTATAAAAAGGCTGGTATGGAAAGAAAATGTAAGATGGTCCATTAGGGTATGAACTGCTGTCTTCCTGGATCACTGGCCAGATGAATAAAGCACCCATAAAGATTCAATCCCCATCTCTGCTTGTTGGGTTCGGTATGTGACAGGCAGCATGAACACTGGCTTTTTCCTGTTTCATATTCTCTGCCAGTATTTACTGGTAGGGACTTGTGTTCTTCAGCACCTTCTACTCAGCCTGGACAGGGTAGAAAACACATTCAGCACTCAACTTATATTCCCGAAGTACATGATATATTTCTCATTAAAACTGTAGTATGCCTGACATCTTGGGGAAAAAGTAGGTTGGAACAAAAATTCCTACTCTGAGATGACACAGAAAACTAAAGCAGAACAGATCTGTCCCAAAAGATGAAATGTATTTCTTGACTGCAAAATATAAATGGTAGCATTAGATCTATGTGAGTAATACTGGCTTATATGAAAATTACTCCTGTTCTCTTTTCTTTCACCTTCTTGAAAGTCAGCTCTACCTAATGGATCCAGGAAACCTTACTAGAGTGTCAGAATTTCTTCTCCTAGGACTAGCAGAGGCACCAGAACTGCAGCCCCTCCTATTTGGGCTGTTCCTCTACATAACCAGGTCTGCATGTACCTGATCACTGTGTTGGGAAACTTGCTCATCATCCTGTCCATCAGCTGAGACTCCCACCTCCACACGCCCATGTACTTCTTCCTCTCCAGCCTGTCCTTGGCTAACATCTGTTTCACCTCCACCACCATCCCAAAGATGCTGCTGAACATCCAGACACAGATCAAAACCATCACCTATGCAGGCTGCATCACACAGATATATTTTCTCATACTCTTTGCAGGGTTGGATGACTTCCTCCCAACTGTGATGGCCTATGACCAGTTTGTGGCCATCTGTCACCCCCTGTACTACACAGTCATTATGAACCCCTGGCTCTGTGAACTGCTGGTTCTGGTGTCCTGGATCATAAGTGCATTGGATTCCTTGCTACAATGCTTAATGGTGTTGCTGCTTTCTTTTTGTACAGACTTGGAAATCCCCCTTTTTTCTGTGACTGTGAACAAGTATTACAACTTGCCTGTTCTGACAATTTTCTTAATAACATTGTGATGTATTTTGCAACTGTGCTACTGGGTGGTGGTCCTCTGGCTGGGATCCTTTACTCTTACTCTAAGATCATGTCCTCCA